TAAACCCATACAAACTAACAGATAGAGTATACCAACAGCATTTTGTAATTAAAAAGCAAGATGAGCAGCAACCAAAAATCATGACCAACTCACAACAACCCTGACTATGCCATGTTTCAGACAGCGTCCTGTTTAAAAGTTGTAGGAATTGTACCTGTTTTTGCCTGTTGGTTAACTGTGAGAGCTCAGCAACCTGCCTACTATTGTGTGGTTGACAGTCTTATGCATGGAATTCTAAATTAGTTTTTTTTTTTTTGTGGTACTGGGGGATTTGAACTCAGGAGCTCATGCTTGCTAGGCAGGCGCTCTACCACTTGAGCCACTCCACTAGCCCTGAATTAGGGTTCAAAAAGCCTAGGCCAACTTACCCACTAAGCTCAGTAAGTGTAGTATTAGGTCCCAGGTTGCTTTTAGGGGCCCACAAAACATCTTAATTTACTTAAACATTGTTATTAGTGTATATTAATCGTACAAAGTGGTTTCATTGTGATATTTCCATACATGGTATATAATGTACTTTGATCAAGTTCACCCCCCTCCCCTCCTCCCTTATTTTACAGTTTTTAGTGGATTTCATTATGCTTAATTTGCTTGAAAATAATGAAAACTAGTGAATGTACAATAATGAATCTGTCAGTATTATATTTATCTTTATACCAGTGCAGTTACAAAATACGATGTTTGGTGTTTTTTGTAGAAGAAGGGGTCTACAGAGGCAAAAGGTCCTATGACCCCCCCCCCAGAAATCATAACCTGGCCCTGTGGTGACATCTAATGCACTCAATTTTAACGGCCCTTCATAACACGAAATAGAGCATTTAGTGCTGTGTGAAACTCAATGGACCTGCTTGTCACATGATCATACGAGTTAAAGAAAGAGTCAGAAACAAAGGCCATCTCTGAGGACCAGAGGTCACTCCCCTCCAACTCAAGGTGTAGTCCCTGAACTAGCAGCATGAGGGGCTGATGAGAAACACAGAACCTCAAAACCTACCAAGACCTTCTAATAAGAAGTGTATTTTTACAAAACCCTCAAGTGATGTGTGTGCATGCAAAAACTGAAAGGTACTGTCAGCTTTGGAAGAATCTATACCTAGGAAAATACTCTGCATTCTACAGAGATGGACCACTCTGAAAGTGACGTGGGGGAGTTAAAGAACAAAACCTTGACCAACAATGTTGTCCATGAAGAGATGAGTAGTCTAGATCCCACAGAAGCAGAGATATCTCCCAAGAATTTGGAAGGGCTGGGATCCAGCTCAGTGGTGCAGTGCTTGTGTAACATTCACAAGGTCCTGGGTTGGATCCTCTGCACCACAAAAACAGAGCAGAAAGAAGAAAAGGAAGAAGAAAGGAGGAGGAGGAGGAGGATGGAGGAGGAGAAGAAGAAGGAGGAGGAAGAAGAAGACAGGAGGAGGAGGAAAAAGAAAACTGGTTTGAGAGCCTTGGATTTAGCAATAATTTCTAACAGCACAGGCAACAAAAATAAAAATTAATAAACCGGACTACATTAAAATTAAAAACTCTTTATACCATAGGACATAACAACCAAAAGAATGGGAGAAGATATTTTCAAATTGCATATTCAATGTGGAGTTAATATCCAAAGTATAGAAAGTACTCCTACAAGTCAAGAACAAAAATCTCATTAAAAAAATAAACAAAGATTGGGAAAATTGGATATCTACATGCAGAAGAATGAAGCTGGATGCCTGTCCCTTCCTTACAAAAGGTAAGACCTGAAACCATGAAAGTATTAAAAGAAAATGTAGGGGAACACTCCAGGACATTGGAATGGGCAAGGAGTTTTTAGAGAAGACCCCCAAAACACAGGAAATAAAATCAAAAATAGAAAAATGGGATTATACAAAACTAAGATGGTTTTCCACAGCAAAAGAAATATCAGAGTGCAAAGACAGCCTGCAGGATGGGAGAAAATATTTGCAATGTATAGGGGTTGATATCCAGAATATATAAGGAACTCCAAAAACTCAATAGCAAAACAAAATAAAACCCAAATAACCTGGTTTAAAAATGGACAATACATCTAAATAGACATTTCTCAAAACAAGACATACAAATTGTCAACAGGTATATGAAAAAATGTTTAACATTAGGGAAATGCAAATCAAAGCCGCAATGATACATCACCTCGTTCCAGTATAAATGAGTATTATAAAAAAGAAAAAAAGGACTTAAGAGCCAGGCATGGTGGTACATACCTATAATCCCAGCTCCCAGGAGGTGGAGAAAGAAGTATCATAAGTTTGAGACCAATCCAGGCTACATAGCAGGACCCTGTTTCAAAAAAAACAGAGAGAGAGAGAGAGAGAGAGACTAAAGAGAACAAGTGCTAGCAGTATGGGCATGTGGAGAAACAGGAACTCTTGCACAGGGTTGGTGGGAATGTAAATTAGTATAATCATTACAAAAAACAGTGTGGAGGGTCCTCAAAAAGTGAAAAACAGAACTACTATATAATATACCACTCCTGCGCACTTATCTGAAGGAATGGAGTCAGCATACAAGAGACACCTGCACATCATCTTTACAGCAGCATTGTCACAAAAGCCAAGTTATGGAATCACCTAGGTGCCCATCAACCGATGAATGGATAAAGAAAATTTGGTCTATATACACAATGAGGTATATTCAGCCATAAAGAAGAATGAAATGTCATTTGTAGAAAAATGGATGGAACTGGAGATCTTTGTGCTAAGGAAAATAAGCCAGACTCAGAAAGACAAACACCACATTTTCTCTCATATGCAGAATCTAGATCTGAAAAAAATGACAAGAATGTTGAAAGGGGACAGTTTGGGGAGGTAGCAAGAGGGGAAGGCAAAGGAGAGGGGGTTGGGGGTGAATATGATCAAAGTACCTTACATGCATCTATGAAGATAGAATAATGAACCCCAGTAAAACTGTTAAAAGCTAGGAAAAAGGAGTAAAGGGGGTGAATTTGATCAAAGCATGTTACATGCACATATAGCTCCTTTGAATAATTAACACATGCTAACAAAAAGACAGTGTATGTGTTAACCTGTGTGCTCCATATACATGACTATCTAAAGTGGTCAAATTCATAGACAGAAATACAGGGACTGTCAGGCTGTGGGGAGAAGAAAAAGGGGAGTTGGTTTTAGCAGACATAGTCTTAGTTTTGCAAGAAAAAAGTGTTCTAGAGACATGTACAACAGTGAAATGTACAGTTAAAATGGTTATGATGGTAAATTTTATAGTTTTTTAAAAAGTAAGATTCAAGGCATGAAGGAGACAGAGCCTTCGCACTTAACATGCAGATGCAAGCACAGTGCTAGTGCTGTGTGAGCTGGCGAGTGAGGAGCAACCCAGGGACCGCCCAGGAGGGCGTTGGCTCCCTGAGGCTGGAGTTTAGCTGCTGTGCATGCTTCCCGGGTCTGTGACTGGTCCTGCAACCTGTCCTTTAGATCAGATCCCCCTAGTGGACTGAGCATTTCTACTCTACAGCCACAGGCCCCCAAGAACCTGCGTGTGTCAGTGCAACATAACTGCTTCTTCCTCAGACGTTCGCTTCTCAGTCACTCAAACGCAGTAGCCAACAGTATTTACATTTTAGCATTACAAAGCACTTCAGATAGTTAGAAGTTCCTATCATTTCTTTTTTTATGTATCATTTCTTAATATCGAAGATTATTTCCTCTTCGTGTTTACAAGTTATTCAGTGTATTTTCATATTGCCTCAATTTACTTTTATTTTTCTTACGATTTGGTGGAAGAGATGAGAACTTAAGAGTCAAATGAAGAAAGTGAAATACTTCCATTGTAATTTATTTTACAAGTCATTGAGGCAAGTTAGGAGTGTGTCTTGAACTCTGAGAAATATGAATGACCTAATTCATTTCAGAGGACTTCTATAGGGAACTTCAGAGACCCAAACGCAGAGTCCTAGTGGACAGCAGGCATTTAAAAATAGTAAGGGATTTGGCTGCAGTTTACCTGAGTGAGAGAGATTAGCTAAACACTTGAAGTAAGTTGAGATTTGAAAGCTCAAAGGCAAAAATCACTTAAAAGTAAGTCACTTAAAAGCAGGGTATTTGGGGATTAGCACAGCTGAACTTTCCAAATTAGCATTCTGCTAGTGTTACTCTACTTAAAAAAATATCATTGACTTAAATATTAAAAAGTAGGTAACGGTATGGTCCTCATTCCTAACCTACTATCCTTTGTTTGAATAGGTGGCCAATGTATGAAGGTCAGTTTGAGAAACACTCTGACACCAAGAGATGCTAACAAGAACACCAACGCAGAAGGGGAAAACAAAAGCCATCCCAGAGATGGCACTTTAAGTGATTATGTAAACTCCTCATAGGAGGACAGTTGCTTTTTGGTTGATTCAATTTTTAAGAGTTGTTTAGTTTGGTGGCACTGGGGTTTGAGCTCCTAAGGCCTCCCTGAAGATGGGCTTCCCTGTGTGCGTGCACCTGCCTGACCTCACTTCCTCCTCTTCTAAGAAACCTGGCCTCGCTCTTATGACCACGTCTAATAATTATTTCTTTTTTCTTTTGTGGTACAGGAGTTTGGACTCAGAGCCTCAGGCTTGCTAGGCAGGCTCTACTACTTGAGCGCCAGCGTGGGCTACAGGGTGAAACCCTATCTCAAAGAACAAACACCAAACACACAAAGGTTGCAGGACTGTTTTTGCGGACGTTCTTACTAAGGATGTGCGTTCTTTTCGTTACCTAGTGTTGGCTCCATAGCCCGGTCCTACGTCACTTCCAACGCAAGCTCCCACAGGAATCCTGCTAGCCAAGCTCCTCCCTATTTTAAGCTACCTGCGCCGTGTCCTCGGAACTGTGAGTCCCGAACCTCAATGCAGCAGCTTCGGGAATGAACTAACAAGGGTTGATGGCAGGTGCCTCACTGAGCAGCTCAGGTATTCTTGACTACTTTCTTCCAACGCACACCAACGGGAGCCTTTCGCCTCCCACACCGCGGGGAGTCTCTGCAAGTCTTTAGAACGCTCTCTTCTGGACCTGCTTTTAGAAAACCGCAGTGTTACTGACGACCCTCGCCCCACTTCGTCTCATCATCTTTGTCCCTGAGGTCTCTGGCATCAGTGACAGTCAGGCAACAAACGCCTCAACCTTCTCTCTGCCAGCTGCCCCCTTTCTGGCACTAGACACACCTCAACCACCTCCTCTTTCGGGGACAGCAGTTCCGGTGATGCTTCCGCCACACTTCCTCTGCACTTTCGCCTCACTTCCGCCTCAGCTCCGCCCAGGGTCTGGCGCGCCGTGATGACGACATCGGACGGCGGCGCCTGGGAACGTGAAGGCTTCCGGGCTGCGGACCTGTCGAGAGCTGCTGTCATGGCGGTCGAGCTGTGGGGCGTCTTTCCAGTCCTACTGCTGCTGTTGCTTTCAGGGGATGCCCGGAGCTCGGAAGTGCCCGGGGCTGCCGCTGAGAGCTCGGGAGGGATGGGGGTGGGCATAGGAGATCGTTTCAAGATTGAGGGGCGCGCAGTCGTCCCAGGGGTGAAGCCTCAGGACTGGATCTCCGCGGCCCGAGTGCTGGTGGACGGAGAGGAACACGTCGGCTTCCTCAAGTGAGCATCCTCAGAGCCGCAGGAGCGGTGGGGACGGGCGCGGCGGGGGAGCCGGCCGTGAGCTAGGTGTCAGGATGGGGCAGCGGCGCTGTCGCGCGTGGAGGGCCGGCGTCGCAGTCCCGAAAGGAGGGCGCGGGCGTCCGTCTTGTACCGTGTTCGGGCCCCGGCCACTCTCGTGCCCTGGGGCCAGCACAGGTGGATCCGTGTTGGAGGGTCTCTCCTCTCTCCTCTCTCCCCTATCAAGCAGACGCTCTACCACTTGAGCCACTCCGCTAGCCCTGTGCCACCAGTTCTGTTTTGCTTTGGGTTTTTTCCGAGATAGTGCCTCGCGAACTTTTTGCTGGCTTCGAACCTCGATCCTCGGCAGTAGTTGAGATTACAGGCGTGAGCCAGCAGCCGGCTTCGTGTTTGTCCCTTGCTGAATTTTTGTTTTGCGCGTCGTCTGCTGTCCCTGGAGCCTGGCCCGTCCTGCATTCGTGTCGGTCTTCTGCTGGCTTGGCGCGTTGTGGAAAGATGCTGAACGAGTGGGAATTCTCAAAGCCCTCGGGGCTTCTGACTATGACAGTGACTCAAGGCTAATGTCACTGCTGTTAAAATTAACAGGCCCTCAAGTCCCTAATGGGAGCACTTTCTCTTTTTTTTTTCTTTTTGTCCTGGGGTTGGGATTACTGTTCATTTTACACCTGAGTGCATCGAGGGATTTACAGCAGTGTCCCGCTGTCATGACGCGAGGCCCGGGTTTCTCAGACTGCATACACGCGGCTCCTCTCGGGCCTTAGTAGGCACGGGTTGCGTCCTCGGTTGTCAGCGTCCGCTTTCCCCGTATCTAGGCACTGCTTTTTAAGTCCTTCCACCACCACTTGGAAAGTAAAAACATTTAGGAAAGAAGCATGTCTTTGCTTGGTGTGAATACAGGCAAGTGTACCTGAAAACCACACAACAGAAATGTCGGGGTTGAAATTTGGGGTGCACAGTTGTTCAGGTCAACTAGGTGTCTGTGAGAAATTGAACCTCAGATTAATAAATAACGACAAATTTACTACCAATATTCTAATATTGTCTGGCATTTAAGAATCTGGCATTAGGACATTCATTACAGTTTACCACAAGTAATGATGTTGTAATGATAAAACTCCCATTAAGTTTTGGACGATTAGCCTTAGTTGACATTTGACTTCTCTTCTGCTTTTTGTTGTTTTTTGGTTTGGTTTCTCTTTGTAGTCCAGGCTTGCTGGAAATCACTATGTTGGTCGTGCTGATCTTGAACTCATGATCCCTCTATCAGCCTCCCTTGTACTGAGGTTCAACAGTTGAAAACAGTTTTTAAAAATATTTTAACATTTTGTTTTATCTTTTTCCAACTTTTTTTTGAATCATACGACCTTTTTTTTTTTTTTTGTTAGTAATGAGGTTTGAACTCAGGCCTCAGCTAGGGACTCTACCACTTGAGCCCTGACTTGTTTTTAGTAGTAAGATAAGTAATACTTTGTAGCCTGCCATTTCCACTTAATACATGTGAATGGTTCTTGATACTATTTCGTATTGTATATACAAGGGTTGATTGGTAATTAATATAGGTTTATGGTGACAAACATGTTGGAAGAGGGTAATTTGTAATTGTTTTGAATAGCTAGTACAGCCTTGGCTAATAGTTATGATTTTTGGCGGTTGCTTGGGACTTGTCTAGTAAGATGAGAGAATTGGGGGCTGAAGACTGGGCTTGCCGTTTCTTACAGTCATCACTATATGCATACACCATAATTTATTCTGCCAGTCTTCTGGTTTTGGATGTTTAGGGAGTTCTCAGGTTTTTGACGTGGTAAGATTTGTACTACACTTTGAGTTTTTATTATAGAAAATTTCAGACGTACATAAAATAAGCACAGCCTTATGAGTCATTGGATTTTCATCATAATCTACTGTTTTGTTTCACCTCATTTATGTTTTCGGATTTTTTTTTTTCTTTTTGCAGTACTGGGTTTTGAACTTAGGCCTTTGCACCTGCTAGGCAGGTGCTCTACTGCTTGAGCCATGCCTCCAGCCCTTTTTGGAGTATTTTTAAGTGGCCTTAGGCATAATATAATTTTGCTTTAGAAGTGTTAATATGCATCTCTAAAAGGTAAGAACTTATACAAAAGCCTCGTCACTACACTGAGTCAATAAAATAACAATACTTTAATACCAGTCTATTTCTGTGTCTCCCCGGTTAACCTTTTTTTTTTGGGGGGGGGCGTGGTGTACTGGGTTTGAATTCAGAGCATTGTGCTTGCTAAGCAAGTGCTCTTGAGCCATGTCCCCAGCCCTTTTTCTAATATGGTCTTGAGTTTATGCCCAGACCAACCTGGTCTGTGATCAGGTACTTCCTGAGTACCTGATATGGCAGGCTCATGCCACCTTGCCCAAATTTTTATTGGTTGAGATGGGGTCTTGCTAACTTTTTGCTTGTGCTAGCCTTGAACCACAATCCTCCCCGTCTCTACTCCGGAGTAGCTGAGATTATAGCTACTCTGAGATTACCATGCCCAGCCTAGAATGCCATTTTTAATAGCAAGAATTTACCCTGGTGCCAGTGTCTCACACCTGTAATCCTAGCTACTCAGGAGGCAGAGATCAGGAGGAAAGTAAGAATTTGTTCATGGGGGCAGGGTTTGCACAATTGATATTGTAATAATAACGTGTATTTGTCATTTCCCTTGGAAGAAGAAATGCCTTCACAATAGGAGCTGTGCTCCAGTTGCCTGCCATTTATATCCATAGAAGCAGTAGAAGCGCTTCCTCTGTCAGGGCTCTCTACTACTCTGGTCTCAGGTATTTTCAGAACCTGTTCAGTGTAACTATGGAAGATGAAATGTAGGACAGGTCTTGCCATGGGTTTTTTGTTTTTTGTTTTGTTTTTTGTCAGTTGCTTCTTACATCCTTTTTTTAGATAATTGTTCTGGGAATTCAGATGATTTAAAATAAAGAGACTGAGGTACTGATCAGAAGTGACTAAATATGATTTTCATTTTTCCAGGACAGATGGGAGTTTTGTGGTTCATGATATACCTTCTGGATCTTATGTAGTGGAAGTTATTTCTCCAGCTTACAAGTTTGATCCTGTCCGAGTAGATATCACTTCAAAAGGAAAAATGAGGTGAGGACCCTGACTTTTACCAAAGGCTCAGCTGCTGAATATGTCACTTTATATTCCATTCAGAACTTATAATTAAGGTTGACATTTTACTCAAACTACAGTTATCCCTTAACACATTTAAAAATCCTTGTGTTGTTTTAACCTGAATATTTATAAAATTATGAAGTTGAACTTCCTGTTCTGGCTTAAAAACGTTTTAAAGCTCCTAGTAGAGTATATAGAGAAAAGGTGACCACCTACCCTAAGCAAAAGCACTGTAGAGTGTTTGACGCCTAGTACTATTTTTTTATTCTTGCTTCCCCTGGGATACTGCTGGCATGGATTTTATGCACAGATATATCATTCAATAATTACTAGGTTCTACTTCGTGCTTTGGTATACGTTTGCTTTTATTTTTTATTTTGAAGTACAGGGGTTTGAACTCAGGGCCTTGCATGGGCTACCTACCAGTTGAGTCATGACTCCATCCATTTTTGCTATACTTATTTTTCTAATAGGGTTTTGGACTTCGATCTTCTGTTTACACATCCTGTGTAGCTGGAGTGAGAGGATGTGTCACCACGCCCAGCTTATTGTCTGAGATGAGGTCTCCCTAACTTCTTGTCCAAGATGGCCTTGAAACTTGATCCTCCCAATCTCTGCCTCCTGAGCAGCTGGAATTATAGGTGTAAAACACTGTGCCCAGCCTACTATGTAGTCATTTTGTTATTTTTATCTGTTTTCAGCAATAATTTTGTCTTGTAACCAGCCACAAGTGGGAACCAAATAGAGACATCATTTCTTTGTTTCCTGCATAGAATTAGTTTTAGGATTTCTCTTATGAAAGACTAAAACAAATACATACGTATTATTTAAAAACAAAACAAAACATTGTATAAGTTGTAATTGAAGTGTTTTCTTTTTGGCGGTCCTGGGGTCCTGGGGTTAGCAAGGCCTCACCTTGCTAATACCACCAGCCTGTTATAATTGAAATGTGATTTTTAAAGTTGGAAATAGTTCAACTTTTCTAAATTGGACGTGCTTCTCCTCACTTATTTTTGATTGGAAGATTTTGATGATAACTCTAATGACTTATTTGGTACTATGTTAATCTAGAAGTTTCTGTAGCTCCTTCTTTCTGAAATACTTAGTATGCAATGCAAGATTAGTATTACATTGTGGGTTTTGTGTCAAAGTGAGGATCATGATGAAAAGATCACAGGAAAGCACACTATTGGGGCTGACAGAGTAGGAAAGAATTCAGATTTTTGGTTTTTTTTTTGTTTTGTTTTGAGACAAGGTCTTACTGAGTAACCCAGCTAGCCTTGAACTCAGAATTCTTCTGGCTCAGCCTCCTGAGTGCTGGGGTTACATGGGTGCACCACCATGCCTGCCCAAATATCAGAATTTCTAAGTAAATGAACATGTGATTTGAAATCAAGGTAAAAAGAAATTTGGTTTAAATTAGGCTGTGAGTATGAAATAGCAAAACCCATGTAAGATTGAGGACAGTTGTATGAATGTTCACATTCTTCAGATTCAGCCTTTCATCACAACGCAACAAATTTCTATATGGGGCCTCGCACTTGCTAGGCAGGCACTCTACTGCTTGAACCAGGCCCCGGCCCTAATTTGTTTATTTTTTATTGTCTCATGATGATAACAGTCTCTTTGGTCTAATTTGACTGGAAAGTGTATTAACCAGTGTTAAGTGATAGTGTCTCTTTGAGCATCACGATCTTACTCTGTGCTGCTGTAATAAAACACTGGCCATGCAATAGAAGAAATGTTTTGGGGTGGAGGAGCTATATCTTAACTGACCTTTTCGGTATGTGTCAGGTATAGTTAGACTAATTTGTTGAGACCCTGAATTGAGCTAAAAGAATAGAAATATGTGCAGTTAGTACTGTACTATGTTTGAGTTAGTGTTTACTCCTGTTTTTTCTTTCTTTGCCTTTTTTTTGGGGGAGGTTGCAAGTTTTCAAGATATCACATGTGAATATACCATAATTTAGGCACAATGAATCAAACATGAGCTTGTGTCATCCTTTATATAATCTACATATTAGTATGTTTTGGTGGATTTGCCATCATATAAACAGCTCCTATTGATGGATAAGTAGTGGGGTTTTTTTGTTTTTTTCTTCTTCCACTTCTAGCATGTATACTCAATAGAGACAGAATTTTTTTTTTTGGTAGTGGTGGTGGTGGTCTGGGGTTTGAACTCAGGTCCTCACACTTGCTGAGCAAGCACTCTACCACTTGTGCCACTCCATCAACCCAGTTATCAGGAAAATAAATTCTTGATATTATCATGAAGCAAATCCTGTGGTACTACTATCCTTTAGAAACAAATTACTCCCCCATTTTTGAAATTATTGTCTGGTCATACATCTAACTTTCAGCTTTTTTCTTTCGTTCATTCTTTTTTGGTAGTACCGAGGATTGAATTCAGGGTCTTCTGTTGCCTTGGTAGGTATCCTACCACTTGAGCCATGTCTGAGCCCTTGCTTTTGGTGATTCAGAGCATGGCAAAACTTCAGTGGAAGGTAGAGCCTTGCAAATATGTTGTTGAATATTTTTCAATGGAATAAATAGGTTGTTTCAATGTAGATTAATCTCCTTATGTTCTGATTTTCTTGCGTCTTTTTAGAAATAAGGATTTTTAAATACGTAAATAGGTTATATTCTACTATGTTAAGTCTCAGTCTTAAAGGATTTATTAGTAGTTATTTTGATGATACTTGGCTTTGAACTCAGTGCCTGTGGTTGGTAGGCAAGTACTCTACTAGTTGAGCCACACTTCCAGCCCTATGTTACTTTTTATGATTTCAGAATTCCAAACTTGTAGATGAGGGAATGTTACTATAAAACATTATATATACTAGATTAATTTTTTTTTTTCAGCATTGGGGTTTGAACTCAGGGCCTTATGCTTGCTGGGCAGGTGCTCTACCACTTGAGTCGCTCCTCCAGCCCTCTTTAGTGATGGATAATTTTGAATTAGTGTCTTACAAACTATTTGCCCAGGCTGGCTTTGCCATCATCCTTCTGATCTCTGCCTTAAAAGTGGCTAGGATTACAGGCATGAGCCACTGGCACCCGACTAGCTTCCAGTTTCATTTTTAATCTTGTCTTTTTTTTTTTTTAATTGCTGGAACTGAAGTTTGAACTAAAGCCTTTGTACTTACAAAGCAGGCACTCTATTGTTGGAGCCACACCTCCAATCCTAGCTTAAATTTTTTATATTAAAACACAGTATTGGATAGGAATGAGTTGTTACACAAAAGGAAATACTTATCTACTGAGAACTATAGTGTTTTATTTTTATTTGTCCTTTTTGTTCTGTTTGAATTTTGAATAAAATAATTCCAGCAAGTAGAAATATTTTTCTAAATAAAAAGTTTTCTTTGCCTTCTTACCTTGGGTAAAGAGTACTGTCTGCATGGTGGCACAGGCCTGTAATCCGGTACTCTGGAGGCTGAGGCAGGAAGATTGTGAGTTTGAGGCCAGCCTGGGTTACATAGTGAGATCCTCCCTTAAGGAAAGAAAAGAAAAGTGTTTATACATCCTGAGGATTAGATGTCTGAAACAGGTTTAAAAAAAAAAACGAACAGAAAGAGCTGGGGTGTAGTGTCTCATAGCTGTAATCCCAGCTACTTGAGAAGTAAAGATCAGGAGGGTCAAAGTTCGAGACCAGCCTGGGCAAAAAATTAGCAAGACCCCATCTCAACCACCCAACTACTCAGAAAGTATAAATAGGAAGATTGTGGTCCAGGCTGACTTGGGCATGAAAGTGAAACCCTATTGGAAAAGTAAGAAAAGCAAAAAGGGCTGGGGTGTGGCTCAAGTAATAGAGTGCCTGCTGTAGCCCTGAGTTCAAACCTCAGTACCCTATTTATAAAACAACAACAGAAAAGCTGGGCAAGGCTGGCGCATGCCTATAATCTAGCTACTTGGGAGGTTGAGATTAGGAGGATAACAGTTCAAGCCCTGGGCAAATAGTTTTTGAGACCTCCTCCCCATCTCCTAAATAACCAGAGCAAAAATGAACTGGAGGCATGGCTTAAGTGGTAGAGTACCTGCTTTGAAAGCACAAAGTGCTGAGTTCAAACCTCAATCCCACCATAAAAAAAAAAAAAGACAACAAATCCCAAAGCCTTTATAATTTTAATAGTTAGAAATGGGACAAAGTAGAGAACAAAGTAGCATTCATATAAGATTAATATTTTGACCAATATTTTGCAAACTTGCATAATAAGTTAGCTTTCAATATATATATGAAACTTCCATTTGTGGCATTTTAGCTGAATGAAAGGTCCTAGAAAAATTAGATAAAATATGATAAGCATTTCCTTTTAAATGCATAGCTTCTCCCAATAAGAGAAATCCCTAATGGATAAAACAGTTCTCTACGTGGGGTTTCTGTTGTTCTCTAGCCGAAAGGCTTAGATTTTATTAGCTGTAGGAGGCAAGTGGTGGGGTTCCTTGGGGCCAGAATTAGATCAAAGACTTTGACCCTCCATATTGAAATCCAAAGACCAGACTCTCAGCCTCACCTTGGCTGTTAGGGGAAAGTGTTGCTGAAAACCTAGTTGCAGTCCAACCCTTCCTTGAAGTTCGGAGCATGAATTTTCCAAGCTGAGCAATTAAGATGATCCTAGTTATTATCCCTGGATCACTAGCAAAAGTAAATGCATAATCCCTCTGGAAGGAGATACCCCAGTATATTTACTTACGTGGCTAACACTTGCCTTACAAAGCACCCAAGAAAACAGTCTACATGGAATTGGCAGATGAATCAGACCTCCAAGTGAAGAGGCTCCAGTGGCTCATGCATATAATGCTAGCTACTTGTGAGGCTGAGATGGAGAGGATCACAGTTCGAGGCCAGCCTGGGTAAATAGCTTTTGAGACCTTTCTGCAAAATAACCAGAGCAAAATGAATTGGAGGTAAAATACTTTAAAGTGTATTTAAAATTCTTAAAGAAATAAAGACCTTAAATCTGTTCTTTTTGTTGTAATGATCACTACATATCAATGTTTTGCTTTCTCATAATTAAACTGTCAGTCTGTAGAATTTTAAAAAGTAACAACAGACTTACTGTTATCAGAAATGATGTACCTAAATAGGCAATAGATATTTTAAAAAAGAATAAATAGAACTCCTGCAATAAATGTAGGCATTAAAATATAAAGCTCAATGGATGCATTAAGCACCTAAAGAGAAATTTTATGTATTGGAAGCTAGATCAGAAAAGATTGCCCAGAATACAACACAGATAAAGAAACGGGATAATGACAGCAATGCAAAAGAATTAAAGAGTAAAAGCAGATGGGCAATGAAAGCAGAGAAGGTGGCTTCAGAGTAAACTGGATTACGTGTAAGTGGATTATGGTGAAAATGCAATGTCCAGTGCACTGTTGCAGGGCTCTCTTGAATCACAGACATTCCCTGCAAAAATATCTTAGACCATTAAAACCTAAACTCCTGCATGTTCTATGTTTATCATAAAATAAAATCACTACTACATATTATCAAAGGACTTTAGAACTGAAAGGATTCTAAAAGAATTTTTGTTACAAACAAGTAAGGAACTTATCTAGCCCCATAGGCATGGGCAATGATAGAACTACAGCAGAAGATTCTAGTGTTCTTTCTCTGTGTTTTGCCAAATATTTCAGACATACAGATAAAAGTACTTTGGTCAGATTTTCAAGATCAAAAGTTTAGATGCTGAGTGTTTTAGAAAAAGCTGAAGGTAAATACACAGAAGGCATTGCCTATATATTATAAGCAGTTCTTTTAACTAGTCACATTTTGTTATCGTTTGTCTCTCTGGTGCTGGGGAATTTGCACCAAGGGCCTTGCACATACTAGGCAAGCACTGTACCATTGAGCTACATCTCCAGCCCTAGCCATATTTTGAATATAATACTAATGCTTTTTTTCATGTTTCTTTATCAGAGCAAGATATGTGAATTACATCAAGACATCAGAAGTGGTCAGACTGCCCTATCCTCTCCAGATGAAATCTTCAGGCCCACCTTCGTATTTTATTAAAAGGGAGTCATGGGGCTGGACAGACTTTCTGATGAACCCAATGGTATGTATCAAGCTAAAGTAAAGACTTGCTAATCTGAAAACTTCAAACCCTGTGATTTGGACCGTTGAGATTAGAAAATAGTGGCTTTGGGAACAGATAATGGAAAGACTATAGTGAGACTTGACATTGAAATGTATAACAGGAATTGGGTACTTACATGTGATGAGATGTTTTACAATTGAAGTAGAAGGAGAATGTGCAAAAAGTCATATGTGTAGCTGTCCATCCTTCCTATTTGTGTATTAGTCCATTGATAGATGTGCCATCATTTATTAAGTAGCCCCTGTCAATGGCACAAGTAAGGTTTTCTTCTTCTTTTTAACATGTAGTGAATAGAGAAGTTATCAATTGGTAATTTAAGTAGTTGGTATTGACATGAAAGTGATGTTATAACAATACAACACTAATAGAAACAGATTGACCCCTTTTTTTTTTTGGTGGTACTTGGAGTTGAACTCAGGGCCTTGTACTGCTAGGCAGATGCCCTACCACTTGAGCCACACCCCCACCCAGATTGACCTTTTTATTTTTTTTTAGCTGTTTTTGAAAGTTAAATTGTTATCTTAGAATTTTCTAAATTTTGATCCTATTCTTTGCTGATAGCTACTTAGATCACAAACAGGACTATTCAGGGGCTGTATAGGGAAGTATCTAGAATCTTCTATCAGAAATAAAAGGGCAGGAGGGTAGGTGGGATGGAAGAAGTCAGAAATGAGACTCCAAAGCCTTTTCATCTTCCATGTTTTCCCTTCTGAAATTCCACAGAAGGGTACCCAGTGCTAAAGGATTTAGGTCATTTTCAAAACTGTTGTGCTAAAGTGCTTGACTAACACTATATTGCAGGCTGTAGAGAATGTATATTGACAAGAGGGATAATCACTGTTTCTCTAAGAACCACAGAGGCATCCAGAAAGAGCCAGCCTGCTGGCTGTGAGGATCACCAATCCCAATGTCAGATTACAGAAATGAGAAGAAAATGAATGGATAGCTCCATTTGAAACCTGTTTGTGTTAAATAGGACTGTAAACTGCACAGAGGTGAAGTCTCAGCACGTGCGACAAGACTACTCTGTGGTATGACACAGCAGTTGATGGTGCTTTGTGTTAGAACTGGCTCAGTGTATTGACACGGTTGCTGCAGGCAACCGTGGTTGTTACATGGAACTCATTTTACAAACTGAAAAGTGGGGGAAGAATCTCTAATTTTTTTTCTTCTACAGGTTATGATGATGGTTCTTCCGCTGTTGATATTCGTGCTTCTGCCTAAAGTGGTCAACACAAGTGACCCTGACATGAGACGGGTAAGCTGATTGCCCAGCCCGTGTTCTGGTGCTTTTCCATTAAGGATGGATGGCTGGAGTTTTTTCAGCTTTATCCTAGTTCCCATGGCAATCCCATCAAGAGTTTGTGTAAACACCATATTATGGTCCTGGCATTTAATTACCTGTGGCCCTTGGACAGCATAAATTCAGTTGGTTCTGCCTGGTGTAGGCCTATGTCTTTTCCTTGTTTTGTTTTGTTTTTTGCACTCTGCCACTTGAGCCCTACCACCAGCCCCCTTTGTCTGTTGATGTAGCTAAAACATTCTACTTAGTCTAGCTTTTTTGTATGCCTCTCTTGTTAAGCAGTTGAAATGCATAGTAACCCTGGCATACCTAGTCCAAAAAGGATGCAGAAATGAATTATAGGCTATCTCTGTTATCATGCTCATGGTCCAATTAATTGTAGAAAATGAATGGATTTATAAAATATTCTCTTGCCATCAGGGAATTTTGGGGTTTTTCTTTTTTCCTTGTAGTAAAGGGAAAAATAAGATGCAAAGAATGAAAATATTTGCTAAGATAGTAGGTGTTTACGTTCTATAGAAGGGCACACATTTTTCCAAGCTGCAATTGGAAAATTGTTTATGTAGTTTCAAAATGGTTTATTGCTAAATTTTTGTCATCTTTGCTTTGGTATTGGTCAAAAAGTAACCGTCCTGTGCAGTGCTATATCAGTTAAGCCTATTGATTTTCTGTGCATCAGTGAAAGGAAACATCAGAAGTTACCTGTAGTTAAAAGTTCATTCCTTGCACAGTGGTTTGCGTGATAGACATTATAAAAAGTTGTTGCTAGCCGGCCATGGTGGCTCGTGCCTATAATCCTAGCTACTCAGAAGGATCACAGTCCTTGGCTAGCCCAGGTAAAAAGTTAGCCAGACCCCATCTCAATTGATAAAAGCTGGGTTTGATGACTCATGTCTGTCATTCCAGCTATGTGGGAAAGCATAAATAGGAGGAGCAGGATCCAGGCTGGCCAAGGCATAAATGCAAGACTCTACTTACAAAAAGTGCTGGTGGCATGGCTCAAGTGGTAAAGTGCCTGCCTGGCAAGCACAAGGCCCTGAGTTCAAACTTCTATACTGTGCAAAAATAAATAAATAAATAAAAGGGGCTGTTAACCTAAAAGTTTCAGAATTGAACAAATTCAAAAATGTTTGGTAGATCTATTACTATAAATTTAATTCTTGATTATAAGGGCATATTAAAATACCTGATTTATATTTATTATTTTTCTTTTTCTGGCCTTATTTATAAAAGTACCTATGGCTGGGTGCCTGTGGCTCACGCCTGTACTCCTGGCTACTCAGCAGGCAGAGATCGGGAGGATCGTGGTTCAAAGCCAGCCTGGGCAAATAGTTCACAAGACCCTATCTTAAAAAAATCCATCGCAAAAAAGGGCTGGTGGAGTAACTTGAGGTGTAAGCCCTGAGTTCAAGCCCCAGTACCACAAAAAAAGTACCTATGAATAAATTCTACCTTTGGGGAGGGAAAAATACTCTTAACAGTTCCCCATTTGAGTGAAGGAAAACTGCCAAACACATTTTATGAAGCCAGTATTACACTTATCCCAAAACCAGGCAAAGACACCTCCAAAAAGGAGAACTATAGGCCAATCTCCTTAATGAACATTGATGCAAAAATCCTTAACAAAATAATGGCAAACCGAATTCAGCAACACATCAAAAAGATTATTCACCACGACTAAGTAGGCTTCATCCCAGGGATGCAGGGGTGGTTCAACATACGAAAATCAATAAACATAATAAACCACATTAACAGAAGCAAAGACAAAAACCACTTGATCATCTCAATAGATGTAGAAAAAGCCTTTGATAAGATCCAACATCATTTCATGATAAAAGCTCTAAGAAAATTAGGAATAGAAGGAAAGTTCCTCAACATTATAAAAGCTATATATGACAAACCTACAGCCAGCATTATACTTAACGGAGAAAAATTAAAACCATTCCCTCTAAAATCAGGAACCAGACAAGGATGCCCACTATCTCCACTCCTATTCAACATAGTACTGGAATTCCTAGCCAGAGCAATTAGGCAAGAAGAAGGAATAAAAGGAATACAAATAGGTAAAGAAACTGTCAAAATATCCCTATTTGCAGACGACATGATCCTATACCTTAAAGACCCAAAAAACTCTACTCAGAAGCTTCTAGACATCATCAATAGCTATAGCAAGGTAGCAGGATATAAAATCAACATAGAAAAATCATTAGCATTTCTATACACTAACAATGAGCAAACGGAAAAAGAATGTATGAAAACAATTCCATTTACAATAGCCTCAAAAAAAATCAAATACCTAGGTGTAAACCTAACAAAAGATGTGAAAGACCTCTACAAGGAAAACTATACACTTCTGAAGAAAGAGATTGAGGAAGACTATAGAAAGTGGAGAGATCTCCCATGCTCATGGATTGGTAGAATCAACATAGTAAAAATGTCGATACTCCCAAAGTAATCTACATGTTTAATGCAATTCCCATCAAAATTCCAATGACATTCATTAAAGAGATTGAAAAATCTACTGTTAAATTTATATGGAAACACAAGAGGCCACGAATAGCCAAGGCAATACTCAGTCAAAAGAACAATGCAGGAGGTATCACAATACCTGACTTCAAACTATATTACAAAGCAATAACAATAAAAACAGCATGGTACTGGCACAAAAACAGACATGAAGACCAGTGGAACAGAATAGAGGACCCAGATATGAAGCCACACAACTATAAGCAACTTATCTTTGACAAAGGAGCTAAAAATATACGATGGAGAAATAGCAGCCTCTTCAACAAAAACTGCTGGGAAAACTGGTTAGCAGTCTGCAAAAAACTGAAACTAGATCCATGTATATCACCCTATACCAAGATTAACTCAAAATGGATCAAGGATCTTAATATCAGACCCAAACTCTTAAGTTGATACAGAAAGAGTAGGAAATACTCTGGAGTTAGTAGGTATAGGTAAGAACTTTCTCAATGAAACCCCAGCAGCACAGCAACTAAGAGATAGCATAGATAAATGGGACCTCATAAAACTAAAAAGCTTCTGTTCATCAAAAGAAATGGTCTCTAAACTGAAGAGAACACCCACAGAGTGGGAGAAAATATTTGCCAACTATACATCAAAGGACTGATAACCAGAATATACAGGGAACTTAAAAAACTAAATTCTCCCAAAACTAATGAACCAATAAAGAAATGGGCAAGTGAACTAAACAGAACTTTCTCAAAAGAAGAAATTCAAATGGCCAAAAACACATGAAAAAATGCTCACCATCTCTAGCAATAAAGGAAATGCAAATTAAAACCACACTAAGATTCCACCTCACCCCTGTTAGAATAGCCATCATCAGCAACACCACCAACAACAGGTGTTGGCGAGGATGCGGGGAAAAAGGAACCCTCTTACACTGTTGGTGGGAATGTAGACTAGTACAACCACTCTGGAAAAAAATTTGGAGGCTACTTAAAAAGCTGGACATCGATCTACCATTTGATCCAGCAATACCACTCTTGGGGATATACCCAAAAGACTGTTACTCCAGAGGCACCTGCACATCCATGTTTATTGCGGCACTATTCACAATAGCCAAGTTATGGAAACAGCCAAGATGCCCCAGCACTGACGAATGGATTAAGAAAATGTGGTATCTATACACAATGGAATTTTATGCAGCCATGAAGAAGAACGAAATGTTATCATTCGCTGGTAAATGGATGGAATTGGAGAACATCATTCTGAGTGAGGTTAGCCTGGCCAAAAGACCAAAAATCGTATGTTCTCCCTCATATGTGGACATTAGATCAAGGGCAAACACAACAAGGGGATTGGACTATGAGCACATGATAAAAGCGAGAGCACACAAGGGAGGGGTGAGGATAGGTAAGACACCTAAAAAACTAGCTAGCATTTGTTGCCCTTAACGCAGAGAAACTAAAGCAGATACCTTAAAGCAACTGAGGCCAATAGGAAAAGGGGACAGGAACTAGAGAAAAGGTTAGATCAAAAAGAATTAACCTAGAAGGTAACACCCACGCACAGGAAATCAATGTGAGTCAATGCCCTGTATAGGTATCCTTATCTCAACCAGCAATAACCCTTGTTCCTTCCTATTGCTTATACTCTCTCTACAACAAAATTAGAAATAAGGGCAAAATAGTTTCTGCTGGGTATTGAGGGGGGGGAGAAGGAGGGGACGGAGTGGGTGGTAAGGGAGGGGGTGGGGGCAGGGGGGAGAAATGAACCAAGCCTTGTATGCACATATGAATAATAAAAGAAAAATGAAAAAAAAAAAAAGCTAAGAAGTGATAGAATAAAATTAAAAAAAAAAAAACAGTTCCCCATTTGAAATGGCAGATAATGTAGTATTCACTATTTTTTTAAGGTCCAAACTAAAATAAATTTCAAGTTTACACAAAATTCAAATGAAAGACATTACACTAATACTGCATTAATTTTGAGTGGTCCTTTATAATTATTAGCTGTAAGGAAAGGACTAAAACTCACAAGTGCCACATCCTACTTTTATGATGGTGACTTGTTCGTGACCCTTGTGATGCTGTGACTGAGATCACTCAAGCCATACAGAATTCATAGATTTGTCACAAAGACTTAGCAATACTGCAGTTACCTTCTCTTTAGTTAGAGATTGGCATTCTGGTTTTAGGCATCTAAGGAAAGCGTAAGAATTTGGGCATGTTTTTGCATACCTGTAATCTCAGCAATTGGGCGGCTGAGGCAGGAGGATTACAAATTCATGGTCTGCCTATGCTACCTAGCAAGACCCTGATTCAAAAAAAAAAAAAAAAAAGGAGAAGACATGAGCTTAAAAAATAGTGTTAAAACAAAGTGGTCTGGAGGTGTGGCTCAAGTGGTAGAGAGGCTGCCTAGCACGCTTCAGGCCTGGGTTCAATCCCCAATGCTGCAGACAACAAAAAGCATGACAGGAATCTGATGAAATATGTTCACCGTCAGAAAACAGTATCCCTTACTAAAACTGAAGCTGCATCAAAGCCCTAGGCAAGCATTTATTAGGCATTTACCTTTAAGGACCAATAGGTTTAATGGCATAGGAGAGTGTGGCACACAATTGCTAATGATGTTTACGTAAAGTACTTTTTGTTTTATTACTATTTTTGGTGTCTTACACATGCTAGGCAAGTGCCGTGCTACTGAGCTACGCACCCAGCCCTGTAAAGAGCTTTTGAGTGTGGCATGTGTCTTTGCTCAGACCTTCCCTTTCTACTTGTACTTGTAGGAGGTACGTGACTGCAAGGGTCCCCATGCCCTTAACATCTTGTGCTTTTTCTCCCTGCAGGAAATGGAGCAGTCGATGAATATGCTGAATTCTAACCATGAGTTACCTGATGTGTCTGAGTTCATGACAAGACTCTTCTCGTCAAAGTCATCTGGCAAATCCAGCAGCGGCAGCAGCAAAACAGGCAAAAGTGGGGCTGGCAAGAGGAGGTAGTCAGGTGGTCATGCTGTCATTTGCACATACAAGCACGGAACACTGGGTGACATCTAAGTCTCAATGGGAAACTGTGTGATGCAGCCACTGTAAACTCACGTCATCCTGGAAGTTGACCTCTTAGAACTGCTGTACATGTTAACTTTTTAACACGCATTTTGTACTTGGTGCACGAGAAGATGCAGCTTTCATCCTTTGTCTATATGAGGTCAGTCTTGATGTCACTGAATTAATTACAGTGTCCTATAGAAAATGACATTAATAAATTATATGAAATACTATACATTATGTATATTAAAAGAAGTCTTAATCCAGAGATCAAATTATCTTGTGTTTCTCACTTGTTTCTTTTTTTTGCTGATAGTTTTATCGTTTATTATCTGAAGCTTGAAATGACCTTTCTTTTTTAAAAGTAGTTACTTTTAGAGCAGCATGCACCATGTTTTTTTTTGTGTGGTCAAACTTTTCAAAATTCTTAGCTGTGCTCTGCCATTTTAACATTCCTTGATATCTGAGGTGAAGTCACATGTTCCTGATGTAGTTATAATTTTTGTTATTATAATACTAAGTTTCAGAGTATGACCATGAATCAGAATAGAGGCTATCATTTTAAAAATTCTGGCTACCATGCGTGGCATTAATTTTACAATTGTTGTATATAACCGTGTGCTATGATCTACAGTAGAATACTGAAATGGATGGTATACAAGCACCTATCTCAGCAGAGCTGATATCAGAAGGGAGGACAGTCATAACAGGGGAAGGAAGTGCAGCAGGAGGAACCTCCTACAGTCAGAGGGTGTGAAGCCAGCCTTGCTGTGATGCTGGTGGTGTAGCACAAGAGGCTTTTCATCTTTCCTGTCATTGGTTCTTAGTGCTGTTTTCATATAAATTACTACTTTCCAATCAGGAATATCTCAAAAATCTTTTACTTCAGTGAGTTACAAAATTTTGCACCTTTTGGGTTAATTTCAGAAAAACTCTCAAGCACAGTATTCTAGAAGAGCACAGGTTCTACAAGAGGCCTTCCATTCTTTCCTATTGCTTTCTTGGAACAACAAAATCAGGCTGGCTTGGCTCTAAACAATTTTTTTTTTGTGTTAGATGCCATTGTTCATTTTGAAATTCAGTACAAAAATTTCGTTTTGAAGAAATAAGTTCTGGGGTCTGGGAGTACAGCTTGGTAGGAGAGACCATGCGTGGCATGTGTGAGTTCAGTCCCAGCACCAAAAAAGAAAACAAAACTTGCAGAACATTTTATGAACTGTATCTCTGTTTATATACACTGATGTTAACAAGTGGGTTAAGCTGTGCATGATTAAGAGGACTAACTGGTTAATGCTAGAACTAGGTCTCATTTAAAATATTCATCTATTGAAACTAAAATTTAGGGCACTTAGCACACACATTTTTTTTCACTGGTAGGACTAGGGATTGAACTCAGGACCTCATGCTTGTCAAGCCAGTGCTCTACCACTTGAGCCACACCTCCAGTCTTATTTTGCTCTGGTTATTTATTTTGGAGATGGGGGAATCTCACGAACTATTTGCCTGGGCTGACCTCCAACTGTGATCCTCCAAATCTCAGCCTCCCAAGTAGCTAGGATTACAGGCATGAGCCACCAGTGCCTGGCTACATATACATTCTGTATGATCACCATGATCGACACATCCATCACCACCCATGCTGTACATTTCGATGTCCAAAAATTACTCAGCTCATAACTGGAAGTTTGTTTCCTTCAGCTAGCACCTTCCCAGTTCTCCCCAATCCTGGCCCCTGCCCACCACCTTTGGATTTTCTGCTTCTATGAATTCAGCTTTTCTAGGGTCCATACATAAGTTCTCCATACGTTTATAATTACTGATATTCTTACTTTTCAGATTAGCGAACAGGTTAAAAAATTTCCCCAGCTCAACAGTGGGTAAGTGATTTTAATTTAAAGCAAAGCCTGTTAACTGCTTCCTGTGGTGCCTCTTTCACAAGCTAGATTAACAATGCCCACAATCAACAGATAGCCACACTTCCAGTCTGCCACCCTCCCCTAACCTGTACTGTCACAATTTAGACTTGCCTCTCCTTCCAGTCTCTACACCTTAAAAATAATTTTAGTCCTCGTGTCTGCTAGTGGAGCTTCAGAATCTGTCATCCCTAAAGATACTTCTAAAAGGCAAATCTGATGGGGGTAATTTATCTATTCAAATTTTTGGTTGACTTTCCAAGGACTTCAAGATAAGCTCTTCGAACCCTGACTGTACTTCCTCCAGATTCATTTCTTTACCACTTCCTTCCCACATACACCTTCACTAAGTCACAGTTCTCCACTGAAAACTCCACATGCCTTCTAACTTCTGGACCTTTTCTTTTCTTAGTTGTACAGGGGAAACATTGTGATATTTGCATATGTGCCTACAGTATATCTCAAATTTACCCCTCCATCGCTCTCCCTTTTCCTCTCTCCTCCCCTTCTTAGAACAATTTTAATAGGTTCATTCCTCTATTTTCATACACAAAATAATCTACCATATTCACCCTCATCTTCATTCACCCTTTCCTTATGCCTCCCCCCAACTGGCACCCACCCCTAGAAAAGATCTGTTTTACCTCTTTTCTTTCATTTTTCCCTGTGGGCCTTTTCAAGTATTTCTTCCTCTTTTTTTTTTTGTACTAGAATTTGAACTCAGGGCCTCACACTTGCTACGCAGGCACTCTACCATTTGAGGTACACCACCAGCTGTTTTTTGTGTTGACCATTTTTGAGATAGGATCTCACAAACTATTTGCCTGAGCTGGCTTTGAACCACCATCTTTCTGATCTCAGCCTCCCAAGTAGCTAGGATTACAGGCGTGAGCCACAGGTGCCTAGCTATTTCTTCTTCTGAGCTCTCCACCCCACCCCAGTCCGTTTTCCTTGTCTGCCTCTCACATCTTTGGGACTTGGTGTAGAAATCATCAACAGAAGTCTCCCAGATGCTTCCAGACTTGGATGAGAGCCTCTTTATCCTCCTTCAGGCTGTGGTTACCCCACTACATTATTGGGTTACTTGTTACTTCTGACTTCTTGAACCTAAACTAAGGCATTGGTAATACAATAGTCTTGTCCTCAAGGAAAGCTGGAAGGGTTTGGATCGTCATTTAAAAAGTTCCAGGGAACATGCTACACATAAGATTTCTCATATATTGTTGGGATCCCAACAAATCATAAAACAAGGATAGAGATTTGTGATCACAGAGAAGTAAATTCTTACTAAGGGAACCCCACATACCCTAGTCACTTGGGGAAAAGCAAAAAAGAAAAAAGAAATCCAGCATATAACACTTAACCCCCATGGATCCCAGGACCTTTATCTTGTTACTGTCTCCTGCCTCAGGTGCGTGCATACTTACTTAGTAAAGAATTCATTGTGAAGGACCTGTGCTGTGTGTGTGCCGAGGGCACAGATGTGAGCTCTGGCTTCAGGGCTAAGCATTTAATGGGAGACAGACATCAGTCAACCAAACACTCCATACATGCTACCAAGGAAGAGGCCACAGTCCTATTAAAGCTCATAAGTGGGGCACCTAGTGGGTGGATAGAGGAAAAATATGGGAACATTTTCCTGAGAAAGTGACTTACAAGGTAAGATTGAAAGACTGAGGTGCTAAGAAGACTGAAGCTGGGAAGAGGGAGTAAGAGTGAGGATCACTTCACTCGGAGCTGAGGTTTGTGTTGGTGGCTGGGCAGGCCTGAGTTCACCTTGTCTTCCCAAGGAAGCACCTGTGGTTTTGTTTGTTTGTTTGTTTTGTTTTTTTAATGGTACTGGGCTTGAACTGAGTGCCTACACCTTGAGCCATTCCACCAGCCCTTTTTTATGATGTGTTTTTTCGAGACAGGTCTTGCAGAAATTTTTGCCTGGGCTGTCTTCAAACCGCCATCCTCCTGATCTCTGCCTCCTGAGTAGTTAGGATTACAGGCGTGAGGCACTGGTCCCCAGCATCTCTCTTGACAAGAGAGCTCCAGGACACTGAGACAAAGCAGTAGGATAGAACCCAGGCTGGGGTCAGGCCAACTTGAATATGGGTCTTAAAACCCGGTGTCCACAGCTAAGGAACACTAATAATAAAGTATAGTGAAGCTGGGCACTCGGGAGCCCAAGGCGGGAGGCTTGTGAGTTAGAGGCAGGCCTGTGCTGTACAGCGAGACCTGGCCCAGAAAAACCAGGCACAACAAAAGGAGTGACAGGCTAAGAGTGTTGCTCACCATTAGGGTGTGCATAGTATGTGCGAGGCTCTGGGCTCAACCCTGTGCCAAAAGAATAGTTCATAGTAATGGCAAGTGAAGTAAACTGCTATGGTCACAAAGTTCCTTTTCTCAGCCTCAGCCATGGAGTTCACTTGAAACCTGGGAACTACTGCAATAGTCACTTCACCAAAAGCTTCATTATAAGCTTTCTTTGTTAGTGTCCCCTAGTGTACCTAAAAGAGACATGTCGCATAGGAAAACAGTATAATTCTGGACAGACTCCTTATGCAGACCTGACCCTGGCTGTGACTGGCCATGGTCACCAGGCCACAACCGATACTGTCAACAAGTCTCTGAGCAAACTGGTTTGTGAAAATCGTTGCCCCAAAGCCTAGAATCACTGTAGGAATGTCAAAGTCCTGGAGTCTGTGAGACTGTTAGCTGGAGCAGCAACAGGCCTTGCTGGTCTAAGCTCAGATCTTTTAACAACGTGGCCCAGCCGGGGCCAGCAGTGTAAAGACACCTTCTCTTCCACTGCCCCGTTCTGGGAGCTGGCGGGGATTGGTGGGAAGGGATTCTGTTCTTCACAGCCTGCACAGGGTTCCTGCTGCTCTGAATTCGCTCCTCCACCTCCAGACTCTCTTCTGCCTTCACTGCTTTCCGTCACCATCAGAAGTGTGTGTGACTGCATGCATTTGGCTTTGAAGATGTTCTCAGAGCTTCTTAGTGGACTGCTGGATGTAACCCAATGCAGCTTGTCACTCTCTACTTGCCCTTTCTCCTCCAAGGACAGCTCTTCCCTTCTACTGCAGGCACCCATTCTAGTTTCGTTTCTGTAAAATGCAGGAGGGAGCCTGGAGAAGGGAAGCATTTGTGCTGGGGAGGAGCAGGGCCTTCAGCTGCCACTGGAGTAATTCCCTTTGCTTGGAGTTGTTCCATTCATCACTGTGTTGTCTGGAACAAAGTCTTATTCCCCTCTGCCTCCCAACCTGTATGCTGAACAGTACGCAGTTAAATGGGAGCAGTGGGGTTGCCTGAAGGGAGATTCTTGAATTAAAAAGAAGGCAGATGAACGAGGAAGGATAGGTTTGAGGCATTTG